GACCACTAAACTTAAAACTATTCATTCAAGACACTCAACTTTTTTTGGTCATTTGTTGAGTCCGCCATTATGTAGCAGTAAACAATGTCTATCCAACAAAACTCTAAACTCTAAAGGGGAGAGTGACTGACACAGAATAGAAAATAGAAACTCTTTTTATTAATGCTAATAGAGAAGCGTAAAACAACAGCACAGGCTCACATGACACACATGGCATGATATCATAACAATCAAACAGTAAAAGCTCATTTAGATAACTCTGCAGACAGGTTGTTAGCCAAGGAGGCAATGGTTGTAGGAGAAACCCCTCTTGTTCCTCCCAAATACCATTTCTGGATCATCTCCACCACATTCCCATTCTCCACTTTGAATTTTGCATCCTCCTTTCCTTCTGTGGAAAATACAATCTGTTGGCCACATCCAAAAACACACACAATTAGTAATGGTAAAAATTAAGAATACCTTCCTTCCTTCCCTCCTTCCATCCTTAATAATTAAGTTAATAATTAATTAGGTTGGCCTACCTCAGCAGTTGGTGAATTTGGTGGGAAATGGTATGTGATGATGGAATTCTTCTTCAAATACTTGGATTGGAAGAACTCCACAAGTTTCTCCAATGCTTCTTCTTCCTCCTCTTCATATTTGTCATCGGCTGCCAATCTGTCCCTTACTGCACCCTCTAGTTGTGTTCCATATTGGGAACCCTTGATCTCCTTAATCACCACTACTCTTAAAAATTTCTCCACCGGAGCTGTAACAGCAGCATACAATCAAACCAAATCAAATATGGAATTGCATGCACAAGTAGATATATGATCAAATTTAATTAATTAATTGTATTATATATAAAAAGTACCTGAGACAAGGGTCTCAAAGAAATCATCATTTTCTTTCAACTCATTCCCTGGTTTACCCTTCCATTGTTGCAAGTGACTCACAACTTGAGGTTCCAGATAAACTCCTATTGCTGTGAACTTAATCTGGAGAAAGTGTATCTCGATGTCCGTAATTCCTGTTAATTAGTTACACCACATATCTATATTATAGTCATGTATTAATGGCAATGATATCATCGCTAGCTAGCCTCTGAATTAATTTACAAGGAATTTTGGAACGTTACCGTGGCCAAGCAAGGATAATGGCTTGGAGGTTGTTGTGATCTGTGGAGGAAACGCAATTTCATCCACCATTACCTGTTCAGTAGCCACTGCAGGTTGAAAACAATTAGTGTTAAGAGTACAAGTACATATGGACAAAATATTAACCAAAGACAAAGTCAAGAGAGAAACAACACTTACTAGTTTATGATCGATGATGATGATGATGTTTCAGGAGAAGGGGATTTAGGTATGAGATGAGAACAAATATGAGTTGTGGATGAAGAAAATGATCAGAAAGGCAGTCTTATATCTTGAAATGAATTGGTATTATAGCTGACTCTGTGTTAGTTTTGGTGGTAGGTAAGAATGGGGAAGGAAGATGGGAACTTGTGATTCATCTTATTTTCTCGCTGACTTGCAATTACTCAATTTCTGTAGGGAATACTAAAAAATAGAAGATCAATTCTGCAAACTCCTTATTTTTGGCTACACACCAACTACCCACGTGCATCTGTGACATTAACCACCACTCCTCCTACCAACCAATCGTCAAGCACATCCCATTTCATTTGGTTGTCAATGTCATCACTAATTATTCTACCTTTCTGGGCCCGAAGCCTTTGTCAAGCTCAAGAAAGACCAACATATTTAGATGCACTTAGACCCATTTTGTTGTTGATGTCATCACCAATTATTCTACCTTTCCGGGCCCTAAGCCTTTGTCAAGCTCAAGAAGACCCACATATTTGGATGTACTCAAATATCTTCTGGACTCTAATCCAACAAACTTATGGGTATTTGGGTTCCGCCCAACCTCACCAAATTAAACCAAAATACAATTTTCAATGCAACAAGAAACATGTCAATTGTATCCCAATAAATACAAGTGTAACACCAACAACTGGTCCTTCTTGAATAAAAACTTAAGTCTTGTAAATGGAGAATCAAATATTAAAAGAGTTTTTTTTATTTTTTTATGAAATTTGATCTAATTTGATTTTAAATTAATTGAGATATAATGTGATTTCTAAATATTAAGTTAATACCTAAAACTTACGAATACTTAGTACAAGAAAAACAAAGTGATATGCGCAGAATATTTTTTGTAATACCAGATGGCACAAGGAGAAACCAAGATGAAATGCTTCAAGATTTTACAGAGACTTTTAATGGAGCTTGGATTGCCATTGCCATCGGATTTTCCTGGAACAGGGTATGTAAACTGCTGTCAAATATGATTATGATAAGGAAGAAACTGGTGATGGAACAAATAAAGGGAATTACGAGTTCTGAAGATGTGATCTCAGCGCGCCCTCAATCATAGCCAGCCATTATAACTCTGCAAAGGAGATGAGTAGCCAATCAATCAAGAATTATCTTACAATTAACATAAACTTGATCACTATTATAACTCTGCAAAGGGATATTGCGATTAAGGCCAAGGGAGGAAGATTAGCGTGGAGTGAGGGGCAAATGATGAAAAAAAAAAAAAAAAAGAAATCTAAATCGTGGCTCAAATGTAGTTTGACTCACTTCACAATTTAGTCTGGTCTATCTCAGGATTCTCAGCCGTGTGAATTGAATGTGTTTGATTGCTGGATGCGGCAATGCCAGTAGAATTTCTGACTTGGTAAGATACGCGACAAATGTTGCTGGGAGTGTGCGTGCGCGTGCCTGCCGTCCTATTGCATGCAATGAAAACGTGATTACCCCGTGCGCCTTTGCCCCTCTCACATTCCCTGCTCTCCACCGTTGGATCAAACTTCAAACGGCTCTGATTAAACCCAAACCCAAATCCCAATTCAAGAAAAACGTGTAGAATAGTTGTTCTTTCCACAATCACCGAATCAAAGAAAGCCAACAATCTAATTTCATGGTATTTTATCTAGATTGCGTAAGTTGGGAACCTTGAACCCAGACTAGTGGTAGTTGAGAATTTCGTAGAACCAGCCAACCTTCCAATATAAAGCAAAGCAATTGATAGTATGAAAATCCAAAAGAGGATTCAAATCCACCACAATTCTTGATTAATTCCTCTGTTTTTCAGTCTCCGGTTCCCACCGGCAAACGATCGATCTGTTTTTTTTTTTTTTGCTTACAGTAATTGCCAGGAAGGAGAGGGACGCCTGTATTAATGGCGCTGCCGGCCATTCGTTGTGGAGCCGTTCACCAACTTCCGTCGCATCTCCGCCATCCAATTTTTCCCGGGCACAATGCAAGACGTCAATGCTGCTTTGCCACATCGACATCCTGCAGTACCCCCAAGATCTTAATGTCTCGGGTGAATCTTGAACCTTCCCGTTCACGTAAATCGAGAAATTCGCCGGAAAGGATTGACGAGTGGATGAGAGAGTCGGTGACGGAGATCGTCAAGAAATTACCGGAGTCGCCGTTGCTAGTCCAGGTGTACTCGGACAAGAGCGGAAAATCCGCAGCAATGATGGAAAAGGCGGAGGAAAGCAAGTGGGAGTTGGTAAAGAAAAAGTGGGAGAAAGGGGAGATGCAGATGCCGGATGGATTGATATTGGTGGAGAGGATTGAGGAGGGAGGAGCAGAATTGGATAATGATAATAATGGGGAAGAGAAATCCAAGGTGTGGGGGATCGTGGTGCAGGGATGCGGTCAGGCTCAGGCGTGTTACCTGTTGAAGACGAATCGGGTAAGGGTGGGATCGGAAATGGGGTTGTGGTGCACGCACTTTTGCCTGACGAGGGTGAAGAACTTGAGGGAGACGGCAGTCTCACAACTAAAGAATTGTTGGCTGTTGCAGGCACAATGAGACAATGGTTTCTTCATGGATATGAAGTTATACCGTATTATTTTTAGGTGGGTTTGTGCTGTTTTCAACCCCCAGATTAAATGGTAGTACAGTAATAATTTATAGGAATTAATTGATGAGAACAAAAAAGATCTGTCAAGTTTCCTTCTTAATTAAATTGGCCTCTCTGAATTCATTTATTTATACCATCACATCAATTGCACAAGAAACGATTGAATCTTGGATTGCACGCAATTCATTAATTTTTTTTAGCCCAATCCTTGCTCTGAAATGAGAGAGGTTTTTTAACTTTATTTTTTTTAAAGACAGATTTTTTTATTTTGTAATTTAAAGATATATGTTAAATATATATTTATTTTTAAAAAAATTAAAAAAATTAAATGTAATTGTCTAAAGTGTAGCCCATTTTTTAAAATGAGTCCAACGCAATTAAGGAGTCCAATCTAATCCAGTTCATAAAGCGAAAACATTTAAAGGAACCCAGGTTTAAGCCCACAGAATCCATTGCGCTGCGCAGCGCAGCTTTGGTTAAAGTTCAAAAAACTTGAGTCCTCACTCCCTCCTATTTC